AAAAAAAGCACGTATAACGTATATTATATAGGAAACGTGGCGGCGTACAATAATCGAAATTGCGCACGCGACAGGTCTTTATACGCTAATTAATCATACACACTGCATGCACTCGGGAGATTATTTCGCGTCTCGATGCCAAAACTCTGATGGCTGCAATATAATATTGTACACCGCGGATGCACCCGAGGAGTTTATATACTATTATTATTATAAAAATATATCGCGTTTTATCTTGCGCGGCCGAATTCACAGGCTTTTCGAAAACATTTACCGTAAACGTGACGATAAATAATAACGATAATCTGTTCTTCTTGCTGGGGTTTTTATCGGTCTGCACTATGGCCATTCCGCGTTTTGCAGATTCCATCTGATTTCGGCCCAAAACGATGTGCAAATCTGCAATCCGTCGTGGTTTGTCACCGACTAGAACTTATACGTTGTATATTTATATTCGGGACACGTAAACTTATAACCCATTATTTAGTCCATAAAAACCCACCACTAGATAATGCAATGAGGAAAACTTAACCTAATTGTTGGTTCAAACTCTTGCTCCGGAAAGAAGTTATAGTGTTCTAAGTATAAACCTATAAACCCTAGGTCCTATTCAATGAGTTCAACGACGGTTTACGTATTTACGTTCTGTTTGCAGGGTCTATCTCATATATAGGGTCTGTAAATATGCGATCATCCTGTTACACATATCCAATTCTCCACTTTTTATCCCATTCTACTATTTCCATCAGTCTGACACTCCGTTTTCCAGATTACACGTCTCTGCTCGTCATAATACCTCCCCATCCTATAAACAGGGGCGTACAAGAGTTCTATTTTCTTCCGCGGGTTTTCTTCCATTATTACCACGCTATAAAAGTAGACTGTGATTCCAACAAGCGTGACCTGATCCCCTCCTCCTGTAATCTTCTACTCTGGATTTTTCCTATTATAATGTTTTCTGTTTTTGGAAGAATCCTTCATCTAAAGTGCTTTTTTTTTTCAAATGTCTTCCCATATATTTTGTATTATAGAATTTTGCATAACAATAAAAACCAAATACTATATAACAATATTTAAAAGTAGAAAAAATTGATATAATTTGATCATAAAAATGACAAGAGTTAAATGTTGAAACCACTAAAAGGCACATCCTTGATATTAATGTCATATATATATATATACAATTTAATTTCTCCAACTTCATTTGACGATCTGTAAGGGTGTAAAAAGATAAAAAAAAACTTCCTTATCTCGCACTAACATGGAGAAATGTATATTGAATAATTGAATCAAACGTCAAAATATATTTAAAAAAAATTCTGTGTTTGAGCGCATTTCGTCCAGAGGGAACTGTTATATAGAAATATCTAAAAGTATAGGGGGAAAAAATGTATAATTATTATATATCTATAACAGACACAATACAGTTTCTTTATTATTGAGGAAAACTCAACAAAGAAATCAATAAACTAAATTTAATATATAATATACTAATATATATATATGTATATAAATTTTCTTTTTTTCATAAATATTTCATATTTAGAAACACAAAAAATGGTATTATAGTTTAAATGTTTAATATAAATATCCAACTAAATTTTATAGAATTTTCAATTGAACTGAAAATGTTCATTTAGAATATTAAAGGAAATCAGATTATTATATAGTTGGGACAGTTGATATACATTTTTGTTTAAACGGTTTCACTGGAAAAAATTGTTCTGGACCAAATCGCTGGTTATTTCTGGGTGATTTTCTTTAAAAAGTGCACATGCAAATGCGCGTTCACATCACATACGTCACGTTTGATACAAATACACCTGTTAGTTTCTCCCAGTGGAAAACAGATTTTGCACACGTATATAATGTGTATATTATTAACTTTATTCCCATGTCTGCTATATTTATATATATATATATATATATAATACATATTATATAATCGTATATAAGTATAAAAAGCGTAATAATGAATGCAGGTATTATATATTAACACAGTTTGAATGTAATATTTAAATTTTTGGTGATTAACATCACTTATAACACTTGTATAGACACTCTTTGTGTAGACGACATGATAATTTAATTTAATTAATTCGGTCTTACGATGGTTTTGTCCTAAACTAATTATGACTAGGTATATAATTTACTCGATGTAAAGTTTAGCTTAAAATACATACCTATACGTATGCGCGTATTAATCAAGTATATAGGCAAAGTTAATAAACGATGGAAAATCGCAATAGTGTTTTTTCTGGAGTTTTTTTTGGAATTGTACATCGCCGTTACGTTTGTTATACTTTATATTACATTAGAAGAGTTCTTTTCATAGAGCAGAAAACATCGGTGAATACTCGCAATTTCGATTATTTTTGCTTTTCTATATATACTCATATTATTTATTGTATATTACTAGTAAAAAAAAAAAAAAAATAGAAACATATACAATTCATAAATACTGCCATTATATTTATATATAATATAAATACAACTGCAGTATAATATTATATAAATCTTTTATCAATTGTTACATTTTTTTTTTCGTTATAATAATAATAATAATAATGAAATATATAAGTATAATTAAGAGTATCTTTATGTATACGTGTAATTGGGGGGGGGGGAAATTCAATTGACGCGGATTATATTTTGAAAATGTATAGAACCACCCGTTATTGTATAGTAGGTATTTAATAATTTATTACATTAGTTACAAATTATGCACATTTAAAACGACAGTCGTTATTTAATTTATTTTTTTTAAGTATGACTTCAGTGCACATTTCTTTGATAATAAAATATTATAATTTTGTCGGCCGTAAAAAAAAAAAAAACGTATATTAAATTCGCATCACGGTTTAAATCGCTGGTATTTGATCAATACCTTCTATACATCAGTTTAACCGACCATACATATACCGGCTGTGCCTTATACCGATGAGGCGTTGTTTGAAGGGTGCTCGCCCCCTTCCCCTGGACATTTATTTTTTTTAATTGTTTTTTCTCTCCACTGCTTTTCTGTATGTAGCATTCCTATCCTCCGTTTCTCCCCTGCGAGTTTTTTTATTCTAATAGTGCACAATGCACAAATACGCATATATATAAATTATAAAATACATACAATGTACATATACAATTATACATGTAAATATTAAAGTCGACAAAGAAATCCATTTAAATACACGTGCATGTATTATTTATTGTATGTATCCAATTGAAAAACTGTATCCATTCTTCGTCAGTCACGGTTTATTTAAAATATATAACGTCTTTATATATACTTATTATAGTAATACTGCCTATGTATATACCTAACATTATTCGGTACAGTAAAATGTAACAAATACAAGTATTCAAATTACATATGTTTTGTTGAATTTTGTTAGTTTTTCATATATGTATAAGCATTTATGATTGTAACAGTATTCAAAAATAAAAATAGTTTTTGTATAGATTTCATAATTATTTAAGTCAATATCCGAAAGTTTTGGGCAATGTAAACATTATAATTTGTATACTTTAATTTTTCCTACATTGATTGAGCATAGTTTAAGGATGTCCGGGCAACGTGAACAGTGAACATATTGTTCGGATTCACGCGGAAAAACTGATCTGAATCAAATACACAAATTCCTGAATAAAGTATAATTGGATCAACGAACAATAGATTTTAAAAAAACAATTTACGATCAAACCGTTTATTAAATGGTATTTTACATAAAATATTTGATCAGGCAAGTTATAAAATGGTAATAATACGTAATAAACGAAATATTTTAAACAATATACTTTTATAATTCGTAATAAATAAACGTAAAGTTTTTTTTTATTTATTTATTAAAACACGTAGGATATAATATTTCTTATCTTCTTTGACCAATTAAACAATATATTCGGGCATTATTCGCTACGTCCGATTTTCCACTTTGCGCGTGGCATGTATAAACGAGAGGGAGGGGAACCGTGTCTGCCGCGAAAAAGGGTCGTTATATTTTATATTCGATATACGATTATGATTTTATTATTTTACGTATATATAATGGTATCGCGATCGCTTAACCGTATTATTATTATACGGCACCCCTGTTCCCGCAGACACCCCCCGTGACGGCGGCGGCGGCGGCCGTCCCGTCCCGTCACGGCCAGTGCGTGCTGATAAACGGCCCCGACGACTGTCCATGTATTATTATTTACAGGGGGGGGGAGAGGGCGTCGGCGGCGTTTCTTTTTCTTTTGCAGTATCCCGCGGCCGGCACGCCGGTAAACGCGAGCACCCTACATCGTTTTTTCAACGCGGGAACAAGGTCACGTCACGTTGCGGCGGCAGCGGTTATCCACGGTGGGCGTCCTGCCAGGTGAACGCGATGATAGCGTTGAGAGGTGGGGTACCACCCAGTCGATTGGTTACAAAACGAATAATAATGGCCGACACCTGTTCCGTCCCATCATCGTCCGGCCGCGAGTTCCGCGGCGTTACGATATAGTCGCGTAGTCCGTCTCCGCCGTTTATACGCATTATATACATAATAACGTACCCGCGACGCCGCCGCGCCACCGTTCTCGCATGGGCGTGTGGGTGTGTGCGTAGGTATGTATCGTGTCTGCGTGTCGATCGCCGTCATCGTCGTCGTCGTTTCGCCGTCATCGCGCGGTCGTTTGTCCGCCCGAGTTATTACACCGCTCGTGTATAATAATAATATTATATTACCGTTATTATTATTCGGGTTCATTGCCAAACGCGCTCGCGATGTCGGCCAGCAGCGGTGCTATAATACACAGTATATAGTCCGCAGCAGCTTATTATCAATAATACAGAAAAAAAAATAAAAATAAAAATAAATCGAACTAATTATAAAACTTACATTGTGCATTTATTACGTTATCATTATTATTATTACATACTCGCTCCGGTCGCATCGGAATAAATAATTTCGCTCTACCTACCCGCGCGAGGATCCGCTCGTCCGCCGCCACCGCCGCCACCGCCGCCACCGCCGCCGCTCATTATCATCATCATCACGTGCACTCGTTTTCTCCGTTGTCCGTTCGGAGGCTGCGGCGGACGGTACGAACGAGGGGGGAAAAAAACAATAAACTTTATATTATAAAAATAGTTTATCGGATTCCACTGCACCGGGGTCTGGTCCTCTATAATATTACCGTGTGCGTGAAGCGCGCGCAAGCACCATCATCTCCTGTTTACCTAAAAACCGTGTGCGCGCCGCGTCCGTTTTTAAATAGATTTCGGTGAAGAGAGAGGAACGGGTGAGACGATGTAGTCCGCGCCACGCGGCACAGAAAAATTCGTGTATAATTCGTAGGTTTACACGCGCCGCCACCGTGCAAATACGTATCACCGTCGTCGGTCGTCGCGGCGGGCCCCGTGTAAAAAAAATATATTTATTATTTATATTATATACAGGGTGTATCGGAATAATCGAGAAACGTTCGCTGTGCGCGGCATGATCAGCTCTTTGCCGATAGGGCGAACGAAACATTATTCTGTATAGCGGTAAATAATACGCGCGCTATAGGTTCGTAGACTTCTACACCAATGTTTTTATGTGCGCATTATATCCCCGTCCGTCCGTACAGTAATACTGGTACACAATTATATACGATTATGGTTGATCCGGTTGGCGGGGAAATGGATATATTATTCGTACTTTAAATGTTATAGATTCGCGCTATAGTTTATTGTCAATTCGGGATCATACGCGACACTCCTTGTATTGATATTACCGTTCAAACAGTATCGGGAGTGTGAAAGTTTATCATTACGTAACCATATATTATACAGTTATAATACAGAGGCGTGGGCTTTCATAACTTGTGTTTTCGATACCCATCTCTGAAATTCGTTTGCTGTATTATTTCGTTCGGTCGTTTAAACACATCGTCCAAAATTATCATTTTGCGAACATTATATACCACTACGATTGTGCGGTATACCTATTATACCACGCGATTCGTTGCGAAATTCCACTCATATAATAGGATAATAGGGTCTCGTCGATGCCAAACAGTAGTTATATTATATATGACGTACGTGAGGTTGACCATTTTACTCGGAAAACTATGTACAAGACGTATGATCATACAACGATGTAGCCCTTATAGGAACGACCAGACGACCGCCTTCAGGGGCGCTAAAATTATAAACACATCATGAACCAACGGGGGAAATGTGTTAACGCGTTAATGAATTCACGTAGAAAATATCAAAAAAATAAAACGGTGTTACTCAATTCGCATACACCCTGTATACGTAAGTGCTCATCGTCACGTATATATTATTATTATTACTATTATATTATACGTGTGTGTGCGTGTGGCTGCGCGCGCGCGTGTTTGTGTGTGTGTATAATATTATATAGTATACGGGCGGCGGCGGCGGCGTGGTAATTAACGACATGGACGGAGACGGTCGCCGCAGCTAGGGATCCCAAAACTTGACGCGACTACCGCGTTTACCTGTGACCGACCGCATTTTGACGACCCATCATTGGCCGAGGGATAATTGGCGGAAACCTGGCAATATATTATGGGACGTGTTCCCCCTCACCCCTCCATCGGTCCGTATTTCCGCCCCGCCCGAAGTCTCGCTCACTCTGTCTCTCTCTCTCTCTCTCTTTACCTCTCCGTGAGTGACACGCACCACTTGAAGCTCTTTGCCGCCACCGTCGTCATCGTCGTCGGTCTGGCCATTACCGCAATATTCCTTAACGTGTGTGCGTGTGTTTTATTTTTCTTGTTCCTCGTCCGGTTTTTTTTTTCTCCTCTATACTATATATGAGTATACCGCGACCTCGATAATTATAAAACCGACTTGACGTGTTGCCGACTTCCCAATTAAAATATATATCCGAGACGCGCTTCTTTCGCTTTTTGTATATTTTTATAATACTCTCGCGCGCGCGTTCTGTCTCTAATTCTCTCCCGCGCGTTCCCGTTCTCTACACTTTTTTTTTTTGCTCCTCTCCGTTACCGCCCGCTCGGCCGTCCTGTCAACTGTAAGCGATCGGGACGTATATATACTGCACGCGCTAGCCGTTACACGCGGACGGGCTGTCGTCATATCCAAAAACGTTTTACCGTCGTCGTCGCCGCCGCCTCCGGTATAAATATATGTGTATACAATCATGATTCTCTCCTCCCCCCCCCCTCGAATCTCGAAAATCGTCGTATCGTGTAATATTATACACTTATAGTCATACAGTAATACAGTAATATTTACGGATACAGTAATTTTTAATATTTTATGAATAAAAAATAGGCGATGTGTGTAGTGATGCACTGCGGTGCGTATGTTAGGGCGAACCGCTAGCAGCATTAAAATGTTACCGAATGTGCGCAAAAAGATTTCTCAAAATATATTATGCATTTATGTGCAAACTAAAATAACCCGAAATACGCGTTTAAAATAAGAAATTTGATTTTTTTTTTTTTTCAAAATTTGTTTTACTTAGTTTATCTATTTTACAGTTACAACTCGCACATACTTTTCCCTTTTACTTTTTTACTTTATATATATATAAAAAAAAAAATAATAAAAAAAAATAGCAGATACTGAGGATGGGTGCAGCCACTGTTGTAGGTGGGAAGTCGGTAAAAGTATAAGATACATAAAGTTACTTAATTTGTACGCAAAGATAAACCATTGCTAACGAAAAGCGATTCGGAAAGATATATTTTGTAATGCTGTCATTTTTACAATTTTCGACTAAATTTAATCTTAAAACGCTTAAGAAAATAGCATAAAATATAATGTACCTTGTATTAAATTTTCAAGCATTTCTCTTAAGCCATATCATTTTAATAACACATACCAAATAAAAATACGAAAATATCAAATAGGCTACAAATAGTCTAAAAATAATTTACAAAATGCCAATACAGGTATTTTGTGAAAGCTACATATTATGAAAAACAAAATTACAAATCTAACTTTCTTAGCATAAAACGTTGTTTATAACTCAGCTATTTATTTTTTTTTAATATCATGTAAAACAAATATGCAAATGCTACAAGTCCTTTGCTCTAGTCATTATATTTTAATGTTATTATAATATTGGACACTCGCTATAAAGCTCGCCTGGTCGCATATCATTTATATAGGTTGATAAATTACTATATTTTATACTTGACAAGTTTTTTTAAAAAAAAGCGTTTTAGTATAAATTATGTTTAAAAAAAAAAAAAAACTAAAATATGTCTTAATATTAATGCATACTTATATGCAAAATGTGAAAATATGTCTTGTGAAAATTCGAAATAAAATAATTTCTAATATCTAAGTACAGAATCGTTAGGCCACGGAAACGCATTTTAATATAAACACTATAAATTAGTTTTTTGTTTTGTTTACCGAACAATAAAAACAAAAAAGACACAAAAGTTATAAATAAGTATATCACCAGTTGTATTAAATCATTTATAATAATGTCGTACTTTCTATTTATTAGCGTGATATTGTTTTTGTTTTCCTTTGGTAGGTGTACAAGCGCATATAAAATACGATTGTTATGGACATTTTCCGATTTCATTTTTTTTTTTTTTTTTGTTTTCGCCGGTAGTCACTATTTATTTTTAATGTACACAAATATTTTATACAGACACGTTCCGCCAGATTTCGTTAATAATAATTTTCACTGTTCAATATTTCAAAGCAGGTATGTGACTCATATCTTACCTATATGATGATGTTTGCTCGTGTTTCAAATATACATTTCGTATGCGTCGCGTATTATTACAATGTTTGTATCGGTTATTGTGTGTTAACGTTTTTATTTTGTTCGCATTATACCACTGCAATATGAACACAATAATAACGTGTGCCATTATGGTTTTTTTCGCCTTAGTTTTCTTTCGCGATGAATTTATAAAATTTAGTTAATGCGTTCTCCGTTGACATTAAGAATTGTCTCGTCTTAAAACTGAATCGTTGAGAGTAGATGAAGGATAATATTCCGTAAATAAGAAAACTTAGATAGGTATTTTATAGCCATTTTGTAGTTGAAAATAGACTCGTATAATGAGCGTATAAAATATTATATTCCATTTTAATAAGGTTAAGTATTAGATAATGTATAGTGTGCAGATAAGTTTTTTATTGCAATAAAACCTTTAAGGAAATAAATAGTTTTTTTTTAATTTTCCAAAAGTTGGGTGTTCAGGAACATATATTATTATTTTTCCACTCGGCTGTTCAATTATAATTACTCATACTATTAATAGTATTATAGGTAGTATTTTTTTATCAGCGTCGCCCACGAAAAAGGTCGTACCTCTATACTTGTCCAAAGAGAAGAAGTTGGAAAAAGTGTGACACGAGTGTTTTCGTTGCGGCAGGCGATATGATAAGAGATTAGAAGTTGGAAAATTGAGATAAGACCTTAACAGATGTATACGGAATTGTATTCAGTTTTAACAAACTATCGGGTATCAACATTGTATCGCATGTAGCAGATGTATTATCGCAGCAGTAAAAATACTTTAACTAGAAATTATTTATTTTGAAACACAATCTGCTGTCGCCGCTGTTTACACCTGTTAGTGCGTCTACAAAGACTTGACCGTACATGGATGAAAAACATAATATTTTGATATAATATAGGTTATGTATACACGCAACCATAACATACTCGAGTGAGTAACATACGAGTGTATTATAATCACCGTGGTGAAATAAATATTAGCTGGGTATATCGAAAAGGAATAAAAAGTGTCGAGGGATATAACAGTTGTTACTTGAAAACATTATTATTATAATTTTGCATGTATTATGTTTAAAGAGATACGATTGGCATTTTACGTGGTTATCTACAACATTATTTCTACAAGGTTATACCACGTGAGCTGTACACCACTGTTCAATTCTGACGTCTGTTAATAATCAAATCGAATACCGTGTGAAGTTTCGCTATATATTCCTGCACTTTGTTAACTCGTATCGTATTAATATTACTTGTTAAATACTACTCGGTTAATTTTTTTTTGTTCGTTTCAAATTCAAATTACGATTTGAACGTGATTGAAATCGACATTTTGGAAATTGTTCCGATTATTAATCAAAATTTTAATTTTGTTAACTTTTATAGAGAAATCGGCCACATTAAATCAGTCAGTTTTCCTTTTTTCCTCTAATAATTATCGGATTTCATACAGATTCAGTTTGTTTATAGGTACCGAATTTTTGATGTCGAGAAATAAATTGTCTTTACCGGTCAGTTGCGATATTAAAATTACGGTGAATTTTTTTTTATTATTTTATTATATTGTATTTAAGTTAACAACTATGCGTGTAATATTAGAATAATTATTAAATTTAAAATTATAATCTGGCGTATTATACGACGAAATACGTTTCAAAGTGTTTGTAATAATTATTTGAATATTGCAAAATATCGTACGTTTTCCGCGACGCGTGTGTGCTTGAAACGCCCAACACGTCGTCGTCGTCGTGTTTTTAGAGGTTTTTTTTTAAATTTTTTTATGTGCGTAGGCAACTAATTTTTTACATCTATTTTATTATTATCATTATTTTACGGGCACATCTCAT